GTTAACCTCTCGTAAAGTGTGTGAGGCTAAATCCGGTAAAATTGTACGACAGAGAAAATTGCTGAAATAGAGATGCTTTGTAAAAATTACTTCAAATTCTTGTATCAGAATTTAGTTCTTCTTCCATTAATCGTCTCAGAACCTTTATTATGTCTCTTGTGACCCTTTTAGGTGCTCTGAGCTGTAGTTGGGTCACCACTGAGCTAATCTACCCGACTGTACACAGCGGTTAGAACCAGCTCCACCTCACTGAGCTTACACTATAATGCTTTAGCGCTAACAGTCTGATAATTACATGTATATAATAGTACGAGTCCCAGGGGCCAGACTCATTAAAGCAAAGGGTTTGAGTATTTCATTCTCCGCTGATGAGCCGAGCACAGATCACACAACAGCTACGTCAAGCATCTCTGCTTTCTTGATTGCATAAATATTCAGTAGGAAGAGTCCCACAAGAAACCAAACAGCGTACGTTATTAAACAAACTAAAAGAGAGCAACAAATTGACGCCATCTGAGAAATCAAAACCCTTGAACAACTGACAGCTCATTTATTGGTCAAGCACGGAGCTCCACCGGCTGAGCTGCTTACATCACCAAACATCTGTTACGTGATATTGGGTTTTTCGTGCCGCCTGTCCAGTTTGAGCCGTGATTATGTCGACGTTTTCTGGGTACTGCAGTTCTTGGGAGACGGATAACAAGCATGTGGCGAGGCAAATGAGTCTGGCTGATCGGTGCACGCCGGTTCTCTCGGGTGCAGAGACATTGTGCAGCACCGATACCGAGACTCCCACGCCTCCGTTCTGCTCGGTGTCGATGCCTCTCAAACAGAATGTCAGCTTGTCTAACCAGTCGTAAAGAGCCAATTCACAGATCCTGTTTGATATACGCAGCAGGGTCATGTTTGCATTATAAATACCAAAGCAGGTTTTTGTATCAAGTCCTGCTTGTCTGACGAATGTTTTGAAGTGGGAGCAAAGGAGCTGGTGAAACAATGCTGCTCGACCAGGTGGCTTCTATTGCCCTATTGTCACCAGGAATGGGGCAATTAAAAAGCTTCCACGTGTTGAACAGGCAGCCAGAGCTCTGAGCTTCAAACATGGTTTAGTTACTGCAGGTTAACATGATGTTAGAAATGAGTTTGAATAACAATGAGCTTTTATTTTATTTTGAAAAGGCTTATTTTAGCTTCCTTAAAAAAGTCATTGAAGGTATTAAAAAGTGTTAAAATCCTGAAGAATTTCTGCAGTGGGCCGTAAGAAGTAACAGTACATTATATGTATGCACTCAGAAGACATTTCTTTGTAACCGAGGGGGAGAGTTTCACCTGTGTGACTCACTAAATGAATGCAAGAGTGAAAACAATAGGAATCTGTTTCTGGCTTGGCTGACTCTGACTCGTGTCTTGCAGTGGGTTTGCCGTGGGCATCTACACCACCAACTCTCCAGAGGCATGCCAGTATGTAGCAGAAAACTGCAAGGCTAACATCATCGTGGTGGAGAATCACAAACAGCTGCAGAAAATCCTTCAGGTGAGACGACAACGAGTCAGACGCCGAATTTACACATTGATAAACCAGGAACTGACGATATACATGCAAATATAAATCATGTACGTTTGCTCAGATTATACCTTATTATGTGTCATACACAGATGTGGATCCAGCTTTGGAAAATGTATGTAGATGACATCAAAAGTAGTAAATGCAGGCGTACGCTAGGTGTCATTTCTGTGGAGCCGCACACCAAACCAGTTTATACGAACAGGAAGTTATATAAGATAAGATAAGATAAGATAAACTTTATTGTCTGTCACAAGTGACAGAAATTCTTCTTTGACAGGCATAAAAACAAACACATTTAAAACAACATACAAGTACAGCCATAATTTCAAAATATCCTTCCAAAAACACAAGAGTTACTTTTGGTTTTCTGGGGTGTTCTTGGAGCATCCATGTGCAGTTTGTTTTCATTTTTCCTCAGTGTGACTGTATCCTCAGCTTAGAACCAACATGCTGTGTGGATTTCAGACACAACCAGAATGTAGTAGTAACTATAAATACTGTGGTAATTATAAATATGTGTCCTGAGTGTTCTGCAGCTTTCTTCTTCTTCTCACGTCGGATTCTGTTTGCTTCCAGGTTGAAGACAAGCTGCCGCACTTGAAAGCCATCATCCAGTACAAAGATGCACTAAAAGAGAAGAGACCAAATCTATACACAGTAAGCAAACTCTCTGTTCAACAGACGTGCAAAAAGGTTTATGAAGTGCAGGACACATCCTGAGTGATTTTCTCTGTGCACGGCAGTGGGCTGAGTTCATGGAGCTCGGACGTGACGAGCCGGACGCTCCTCTTGATGCCATCATCTCCAGCCAGAAGCCCAACCAATGCTGCACGCTCATCTACACCTCAGGGACCACAGGCCAGCCCAAAGGAGTCATGCTCAGCCACGACAATGTGAGTGTCAGCGTGTGTTTTCACATCCTTCACCGTCACGTTTGTTCCCTGCAGCTGACAGCAGAAGCACATTCCGATATTTTAATAGGACAAAAGGTACAGCTGACAGGTGTACGTCAACATATTACAGCGCTTGTAGGGAATGTTTCTGCGTATGTTTAGTGTCTGTAGTTAAAGTCCTACTCCAACAGTAATAACAGGAGACAAACAAGCTGTAATCCTGTTTAACCTTGGACTCAGTAAAGTAGCTGGGTACATATACTTTATGTTGAGTTTTTCCATGTGATGCTGCTCTACTGAGAACATTTCAGAGTGAGATATTGTACACTGTCCATTTATCTGACAGTTAAAGTTACTTTCAGATCAACGTTTTCCATAAAAAGTTTGTACTTTTAAAGACTTGTGATCTCACTAAAAAGCAGCGTTTAGCCGGCTCACGTTGCAGATGGTGATGAGCTGCTACCTGTTTTCCATTTTAATTTATATAATGAACCATTCTTGGTACAAAGAAATCTCGTTTATCATCTTGTAGCTTCTCAGATTTAACTTGTGGCCCTTTGAGGGTGCCCGGGCCTCAGGTTGGGTAACAGTGGCCTGAACTATCACCAATACTAACTGTATTTAAAGTACAGTAACTGCAGCTAGCTTCACCTTCAGCAGCTGCAACAGGAAAGTTCTACTTTTGTGCTCTTGTATTTATCTATTATTAACGTCCATTATTGTCTCACAAGTACTTTTACTTTGACTTGCTTCAAACAAACTTCACCCCTGTGCTTTTACTGTAGTAGTATTTTCAGCGCAGAGCTTTTACTATGAACACAGTATTGTTGCGGTAATGTACTGGTACTTTTCCTGAAGTAACGATTACTGCTGCCGTTGCTCGTTACGTTGGCGCCCGGTTGTCTGTCTCAGTCAGTTAACTCACTCAATCACTCGTTTTATTCTCGCCAAAGTTCGCCTGTATAGATATAAGTCAGCAGTCGTATACGTTCACCTTTGTCTTCTCCGTGTCGCCTTCCAGGCATAAAGCTGTTAAAACGCATCATAACCACCGTGTTCCTCTCATTTGCTGCTCAGTTAACTTGGACGGCGCTCTCCACCAGCAAACACGTGCATCTCACGGACGCCACTCGGTCCCAGGAGGTTGTCGTCAGCTACCTGCCGCTGAGCCACATCGCGGCTCAGATGGTCGACATCTGGGTCACCATGAAGGTCGGAGGGGCGACCTACTTCGCTCAGCCGGACGCCCTGAAGGTGAGACGTAGTGGCTGTGTTCAAAAAACAGTTCAAAAATATGTAGACACCCGAAATGAACACCGAAGTCCCCTTTAGTGACGCCCATAATGTTGTTTGTTATGGTTGTCATGGAGGTCAGACTTAGTGTTGGTACGTTGGACAGCATTAACTCAGTCGTTCCTAATATTCTGCCCCACTGATGTATGCATGTAAAGTCTATGGAAAGAATATAGAAAAACAAATACAGATGTAGTGACTGAAGGCATACGATGAGTTCCTCAGTCATCCAGGTCGTGGTTGCTCTGGTAGATGAATCGTAGCAACTGGACTTGCTGGAGTTCCTTGAAGACGTTCCACATCTCATCCAAGAGGCTTCATCAGCTCTGACTGACTGGTTGGGAGGTCCACATACTGATATCCTGAAGGAGCCATTAACACCTGGGGGTTTGTTGCTCCTCCCCCTCGTTATGTGGGTCGTTAGTGCTCCCCCTGACACAATGGGGTTCGTTAGGGTCTGTTGTGGCGAGGTGTGGATTCATCTTCCTGGGGAGAGATCTTAGGACTGAACAGGTGAGAGGGGACGCCTCAGACCTCCACCTCTGCTGAGGGATGGTCTTTCCAGTTAGACGGCTTCTTTCACTCCTCTGTCAAACCATCTGACCTCCCCGGCCAGAATCTGTACGTTGGTGTCTTCGAATGAGTGTCTGATGAAGCCTCTTGGATGAGAGGTGAAACATCCTCAAGGAACTCAAGCAAGTCCAGTTGCTACGACTAATCTACGAGAAGAGCAAATTTGTCATTCAACATCAATGAAGAGGGTTTTCTGTAGTTTGGAGTTATTAAACAGGAAAACCAGCCTCAGATCCTCGAACCCTCCACCGGTCATGTGCATCTTCTGTCCATTCATGGGAATTACAAGCTTTCTTCTGCGGTGTGAAGACTCATCTGATGTGAACTGTTGCCTCTCAGAGGCCGTTTCTCTGTCACTGAATGCTAATCGTGACCCCTGCACCTTCAATTTAAGTGTGTAATGTAGAACAAGGCAGAAAACTTGCCATAAATGTTAAACACAGAACCAGAGGGCAGCACATGACTGAAGAGAAAAGGCTTCTTTGGCCCAATCACCACCCTGGAAACAAAAACCCACACAGTCTCATCTGACATCACAGCTGTAGGGCTTCACGGCAGGAATGCACCTCGAAGTCTGCAAGGCTGAAGATCCTTTGTCAGATTTTACTTTGCCAGTTGTCCAAAACATAAACTCTCTTTTTGCAGCTGGTGCTAATAGTGTTTAAATGTGTTTCATCAGGGTTCGCTGGTGAACACCTTGAAGGAGGTGCGTCCCACCGCCTTCATGGGCGTCCCACGTGTCTGGGAGAAGATGCAGGAGAAGATGAAATCCGTCGGAGCAAAGTCTTCGACTGTGCGCAGGAAAGTGGCCGCCTGGGCCAAAGACGTGGGTCTGCAGACCAACCTGACCAAGATGAACCAGTATGTACATGTTATGAAATCACTGCTTTATTAAGACTCAGAGAGTTCCTGTTTCTGAGCTTCGGTTCTGTCTTTTTTACTGAGATGTTATTTTCTCTGTCTGTACTTCTCTCTTATATGAAACCACCGAGGTTGCAGGAATATTGTCGGTGAACTGGAACGGTTTTAAGTGTTTCCTGTCATTTTGGGCATCTCTCTCTCTCTCTTCCTCTCTTTTTTTTTTTTTTGTAAAACATCCGTTGTACAGAAATGCTCACGCTGTCGTCTCTCCTCAGAAACGAAGCTGCTGGTCGCACCCCGCTCAGCTATCACATCGCCAAAAAGCTTGTGTTCAAGAAGGTGCGTAAGGCCCTGGGGCTGGACCGCTGCAACAAGTGCTACACGGGCGCCGCTCCCATCACCAAAGACACCCTGGAGTTCTTCCTCAGCCTCGATATTCCTCTGTACGAGCTGTACGGCATGAGCGAGAGCACAGGACCTCACACCATCTCCCGCCCTAATGCCTTCAAACTCACCAGGTACGCTCTCGTGTTTCTGGTTGATAAGATGCAGGATTTCCTTGCATTGCCGTATTAAAGTCGGGTCACACGCTTGGTGGAGAGTGGTACAAATGTTTTTTTTTGTCTTGCAGTTGTGGTAAAGAGATCCCAGGGTGCAAAACAAAGCTGCACAACCCTGACGAGGAGGGAAACGGGGAAATCTGCTTCTGGGGTCGTCACGTCTTCATGGGTTACCTCAACATGCCCGACAAGACGGAGGAGGCTCTGGATGCAGAGGGCTGGCTGCACTCAGGAGACCTGGGCAAACACGACGAGAACGACTTCCTCTTCATCACCGGACGAATTAAAGGTACTCCTCGTTAAGATGGATCACTTTCATATCAGTGAATCTGAATCTTTTTTCACAGTAGTTTATCCTCTGACTGACCGTGAAGCCTTTTGTCTTCCATCTCTACAGCGGCCTGTTACTTAACCTGTTTGTCTGTGTTTGATTGCAGAGCTGATCATCACAGCAGGAGGTGAGAACATCCCTCCCGTCCCTATCGAGGATGCGGTGAAGGAGGCCGTGCCGCTGATTAGCAACGCCATGCTGATCGGAGATAAGAAGAAGTTTCTGTCGATGCTGCTCACCATTAAGGTAAAAACAACTGACGTGTGTTTTCATATTTGATTTGATCAGTGTAGCAAACAGGGAGAGCGCACTCCTGTAGTTAAGCTGTAATCATGTAGATAACACAGGATGCAGCTGTGTCACAGGGAAGGATATCAGATGCAGACTGCAGATGTCGTTTGTTAGCGGCGCTGTATCTGCAGGCTGCTCAACACAGGCCCTTAGCATTGTAAACATCCAATCTCAATATGTCCCTATCTAATCTTAGAAAGAGTAAACATATCTGTCCTCACTGATAGCAAAAGGAGAGGCAGTAAAAAAAGAGAAGCGCCTACTGCTTACATATTTTGTTTCCAACACTGCCACCTGGTGGTGGGATAGAAAACTACAACTCATGTTAACAGAGCCGAACTACCAACGTGTGCTGTTGTAATGCTTGTCGTTGCAGACAAGAAAATATTGCACAACAAGAAAAAAAGTCTTCTTACTTTTTGTCCCTCCAGTGCCAAGTAAACGCAGAATCAGGCGATCCGGAGGACGAGCTGACACCAGAAGCTGTGGAGATGTGCAAGAAGCTGGGCAGCACCGCCACACGCGTCTCTGAGATCGCCGGCGGCCGAGACCGCGCCATCAACGCTGCCATCCAGGAGGGAATCAACCGAGTCAACGAGAAGGCAAATTCCAACGCTCAGCGCATCCAGAAGTGGGTTGTTCTGGATCAGGACTTCTCTGTCGGTGGAGGAGAGCTGGGTGAGTGGGACACTGTGAGAATGTACATCTTTAGCAGAACTCACAATGAACACGCTGCTGCCTAAAACCAACAGTTTCTGGTGGTCCTGTAACAAACAGCATTCAGACCGATGGGCAGATGGTCCACATCAGAGCTGTAAGCACAGCAAAGACTTGTTTTTCTCTCTCAAATAAAATTTTTTTAAGAGCTAGAACTAAAAACAAAGTCGTGACAATAAAGTAATAAATTAATTTTGTGTTGCACAACTTTGGTTTTCCTAATTTCCTGACTCAGTCATCATCATGTGATCCTTAGATTCATATCATCACCACTGATCTAAAACAAAATGGTTTCCTGATGTGTCACTCAGGGTCAGTCTGCAGCTCAGCAGGAGTTTAGCTGCAGCAGAAGTTTCTGATTTCTGTGTGAAACAAGTTCAGGTTTAGTTGCAGCTAAACTGGACGAGTGATGACGGGACTGTTAGAAAGTTCTTCTCCACACTGGTGAAGCAGCAGAACGCCACACTGAGGTGCTGCTTGTTCATATATTTTATCACTTGTGGCCTTTTTGCAACTTTAGATCATCACAGAAATATATATTTTTAAAAACAAATGTAAATCATAACACAGATATGTAATTCTACTGTGTAAACATTATAACCATCTCCTTCCAGTCACATATTCTGGCTTTTATCTAAACTGAACGCTGCCCAGAACACTGAGATAATCAGCGACTGTTAGATGTTACACCTGTTAATGTAAATATACTGATTAGACATGTATGATGGCGCTCTCCTAATAAGTCTACAAATGGACTGAAGTAAAGGCGTTTTAATGTACTGCTTTTATTTTTATTATTTGAGCCATAATTTTCCATCAAGCATTTTTTAGTTTGAACCTTTTGTTAATTTCCCTCAACAATATGAAGACTATGAATTAATCGCTGATGATTTGTTGCCTTATATACGATAATAACGATGGTACAGGTGCTGTGAATAGTCCCAGCTCTACATGAAGGTCATGTTTACTGACAGCTGTCCTGTGGAGTGAGAAGATTCTACAAACAGATGCTTCAGGGCTTTTCTGCATCCATTTATTGTCTCAGCTGAGAATCCTAAAAACAGACTCTGATGTGCATGCCGTTTAAAAAATCGAATGAAAAGATGTGCAGTATGCGTAAGATCAACCTAAACAGCGACCTCTAGTGGTGATATTGTGAGAAGCTTCAGTTTTTTTCCCTTAGAACAGCACCGGTTCAAAGCTCTCACAGCAACGGGGTTTGTTTCAGGAAAGCAGTTTAATGAAGTTTAATGAACGTTTGCTCGCTCCACAGGTCCCACCATGAAGCTGAAGCGGCCGGTGGTGGCGAAGATGTTCAAGGAGCAGATCGACAACTTCTACAAGGAGCTGGCGACGCCAACGACCCCCGACAACCCGCTGCCTCCCAAATAGAGCCGCCGCCGCCGCTGGAGGGAGGTCCATCGATTCAACCTCTTCCTGCCGCCGTCTGACTCTCGTGTACTTGTTTTGATCGCCTTAAGTTGTCTTCGTTCGGTCTTGGTTTACATTTGTGATTGTTGTACAGAAGAGACATGAGAAGAAGCCATTGTACAATAGCTTTATGATTTATGCGACGTTATCGATGAGTTGAATTCAGCTATTTATTTGTGTTTCTGGGATGAACGGTAATGATGCCTGATATGTGAAGTAGCCGCAGCAGAAATGTTGTTTATTTTACTGTAATACTTGAGATGAAGAGACAGAGAATCCAAAAAAAGGAAAAAAAAACACCAAGATAACTATCTTGGTGTTTTTTTTTTGTTTTTATTTATTTTTGGTTTGCCAAAGTTTGAGCATCAAATGAAGAGACACTAGAAAGACTTCCAATGAAATCCTTCGTTCCTGTGAACCGGCGTTTACATGTGTTCGGTGTCTCTCTTGTCTTTGTCGACTTTGATTCAAAGGAAATCATCATTTATTTTGTACGTGCGTTCCAAAAGCCAAAAGGTTCTGCCGTTGAATCCTAAGCTATCTCAGAACATGTCATGAAGCCATATCTTTTGCTTTTTGTGTCTGTAACGTCCGACGACTCATTTAACTCTGTCGTTTTGTGGAATATTGTAAATACGTTTTGACTTCATCGTGTTTCATTTGGCTTTATTTAATTATGTTTTTCAATTATCTTTTTTAGCCAATCTTTTTTTTTTTTTTTTTTGCACTCACACGTGTAAAATGTACACGAGTTCGTTCAGCGACTATATTCAACTCGTTCTCATTTCACACACTGATCAGACATAGAATGCTGAAGGAGGTTCTTGCCCTCTTCACCGCTGATCTTGTACATGAAGTAGCTGTATATAAGGATATTATAGGTATGTGTAGCGCCCCCCCATGGAGGAAAACTGCAGCTTAGCGATTACGGTTCACTCATAGAACAAAGGCAGAATTTAAATACCATGTTTGAAAGGAAATGACGGTGATCCAGATGGTCTGGGTGAGTGAGCCATAATCCAGTTAATGGAACCTATTAAATGGCCTTGTAATGTAAACACAGGAGGTTTGGTGTGTTACTGTCGGTGGCCTCTAACTGCTTGATGAAAGCTCACAAGAGCCCAAACGTGGAATCACCTGACCCGTCAGGGCCGGTAACGGTGACGTTAACGGAGCTTTTTACCAACATCAGGGTAGAAAGATGGAGAAAAAAAACTTACAGCGGGACAAATGTGAAGCAGGAATGTTAGTGCCCGCAGAAGTTTGAGTATGTGTGTGATCGGTTATGGAATAAAAGTTCATGAAGCTAACGAGTGGAGGTCGTCTTCTTTTGAAATGTCTGGCAGCCGGTTTAGTGTGGAGAGATTTATCCAGCACAGCAG